TTTTATTATTCAGATAATTTCTGTGTATTGTCTAATAAAACAAATGAATACTTACGAATTATTCTAATTTCTCTTATCTCTTATGTCCTGGAGAGCTAGGATTCCCAGTATGGAAGAAATGATATACACATGTAATGTATAAGGTTAAGCAACACCGCGCTCCTGAATTTTAATTGAAGTATCAGTGTGAACTCATGATATATATTAACTTTATCTTAAAATAGTGTATATATATATATATATATATATGTATAGATAAACAGGTTTCTACACATGTATATGCAAAATGTTGATTTGAGAATGCTTTATATGTTTTATGGAATAAAGCAAATGAATATTTATGTGATATTTTAAATCTGGCATTTCCTATCTATGTCTACTGAAAAGTCCCAGAAATGAGCAAACCTACTTCCCAGAATGTGGTCTTAAAATGCTGTTTCCTATTATAAGAAACCAGGGCTTCTTTGAGAAATCTTTGATTCCACGTCTGGGACCTAAATGTATAAAATGATCCTGGAACATTTTTATACTAGATACCGAGGACTCTATCAATGATTACTAGGATTATGACAAAAGGACTTAGGAGCTGACTCGAAGAGGTGTGACTAGCCGTCCTAGTTTTATCACTGAAAGTCCTGTGTCCTGGGAAACCTCTCAGTCCCTGGCAACCCAGTACAGTTGATCACCCTCAGAGGTTCCCACTGGCTAAAAATGAGACAATTTGAGCATTGAAGTACAATGGATTGGCACTCCTTAATATGTTTTCATGTATGAGTTCAGAATGATACCAAAAAAAAAAAAATACCAAAAACACTAATTGGTCATTGTCTTTGTTACCTAGTGCTGTTGTAACAGAAATATCACAAGTGGATGGCTTTAACAAAAAGAAATTTATTCTCTCACAGTTTAGGAGGCTAGAAGTCTGAATTCAGGCTGCAAGCACTAGGGAAAGGCTTTCTCTCTCTGTCAGCTCTGAGGGAAGGTCTTTGTCTCCTTTCAACATCTGTGGGCCCAGCATTCCTTGGAGATCTCCACGTGTCTTGACATTAATCTTCCCCTGGATCTAGGAGGTTCTCAGCAAAGGGACCCCGAGTCCAAAGGATGCACTCTGCTCCCAGCTCTTCTTTCTTAGTCATATGAAGTCCCTCTCTGCTGGCTTCTTTCTCCTTTTATCTCTTGTAAGATAAAAGGTGATGCAGGCCACACCCGGAGAAACTCCCTTTACATGGATCAGGGCTGTGACCTGAGTAACAGTGTTGCATCCCACCCTAATCGTATCTCATTAACATAAGAAATGTAACCTAATCCTCATTAATATAACCTAATCCTGCCTCATTAAAACATAGAGGTCAGGATTTACAACACATCACAAAATGGAGGATAATTACATCAGATCACAAAATGGAGGACAACCACACAATACTGAGAATCATGGCCCAGCCAGGTTGACACATATTTTTGGGGAACACAATTCAATCCATGACAGTCATCTTCGATGGCTATTCGGAAACCAGTTCTTTATTTTGAAAACTGATAAAACCAAGGGAAAAAATCTCATGTGTATGCTTGTTGTCCTATATGAACAGTACCACTATGTAAACAAATAATAGATGTGGTAAAGTTTCTTTTTACAGAAAATTTTATATGCTAGCAAATTAATAAAGACCAGATGATAGAATTGTAATATCACCACTTTGTAATCATTTATTGTTTAATGGATTTTGACATTGAGTATAAATGGTTGCTAACAACACAAAACACGTCATCAGGAAAGACCTATCACTAGAAAAGGACATCATAGTAAAGTGGAGGGTCAGCAAAAACAAGGGAAACACTTAATGAGATGGATTGACACAATACCTGAAACAGTGGACTCATACTAATGATCATGAAGATGGCACAGGACCAGGCAACATTTCCTTTTGTTACAATAAGGTTGCCGTGAGTCGGAGCCGACTCAATGGCAACTAGCAATAACAACACAAAAAGAGAGAAAATCATACATATGTTATGAATACACCACCACCTATGAAATAATCTTACCAGAGATGTCAAACCTAAATCTGATGACGTTGTGTACATCTGACTGCTAATGTACAAGAACTACAGAAGATAAACACGTTAAACTACTATGTTATGTGAATGCAATCAGCAAAACCCAGTCTGTGAGAAACTCGGACAAATGATCCAATGTATTCAACAGCTTGCAATGAAAAAAGAGATGGTGGGGGAACCTATAAATTTAGAAAGGGAAAAATTGACCTATAGCATTTAAGTATGCACGAGGGTGATAAAACGATAAATAAAAAGTAAGGCAGTGATTACCAAAAAAGGCAGGATAGTTGTTTCTTTTGGCCGGGGTTGGAGGTAGGGTTAGAGGGGAGTGGAGAATGTTGTGTTGGGAGTCAGTACATAGAGGGCTTCTGTGGGAGCTGACATAGTTCTGTCTCCTGATCTGAGTGGTGGTTCCAAGGGTGTTCACCTTATAGTTCGTTTAGCTGTATATTTCTGTATGTGGTTTTCTGTGTTTGTATTATGTTTGACAATAAAAGTCCAGAAAGATAAAGAACTGTAGGAAATTGATTAAAGCAGAGCCAACTATATTGGGAAATGGTGAGTTGATGTCTTATATATTAGCTAAGACATGTTGAATGAGGATTTTATTGTTATTCTGAGAAGATTCAATGTAATCTGTTAGTAGAGAGTCATTGAACTTTATTAAAAAGAGGGCTGTAGTGCTGAAAACGGTTTTAAAGAAGATAGATCTGGCATAATAGATCTCACAGAGAAGAGATGAGAGACTGAAAAGCTAGCCAGGAGACCACTGTGATAAGGTGATGGTGTTAAAGATTTAGATTAAGGTGATGGTTATAATAATAGAAGTAAAATTACAACTGTTATGCAACAGAATAGTCAATAAGATTGATGGCAGGTTGAGTATGGTTGGTAAAAATAGAAACATTAGGAATGAACTCAAAGATTTCAAGTTTGAGGGCATACCCTCTATTGGTTCAGTACTGGGGAGTTATGGAAGGATAATTATAGGCGATTAGGCTAGAGTAAGGTTTTGTATTTCTTCTCATGATTGCTAGAGATTCTACATTCCAAATGGGTTCCTCTAAAAATGTCAATTCTCACAAGCAAGAAACTGGTAACAGTGGTAGTTTCTGGCAAGTGCATAGTTGGAATATAGAGATGAGAGGGTGACTTTTCAATGTTATTCCCTTTTTATCTTTTGAATTTTAAATCATGTATTACCTGTTCAGAAAATAAAATAACATTTACTTAAAAGATAAAGATGCCCAAGTGTTCTGATTTCTAGAGGGGCGGGAATTCTTATTCGGTATCCTTTAATCATTTCAAGTACTTCAGACTACACTGAAAACCAAACCCATTGCCATTGAGTCGGTTCCAACCCCTAGTGACCCTATAGGACAGAGTAGAACTCCCCCATAGTGTTTCCAAGGAGCGGTTGGTGGATTTGAACTGCTGACCTTTTGGTTGGCAGCCAAGCTCTTAACCACTGCACCACCAGGGCTCCCTTCAGACTATAGTTACTTTGAAAAGCAGACAGGTAAACATGTTTAATACTTGGTTTCTTTGTGAATTGCATATGTTTATAAACATTGTATGTTTGGGTGTATGTTTATGTTTGCGTGTGTGTGTGTTTCACTTAGAAAATAATGTTTATAGCTGGAGCATCGGGGACCCTGTCTTCCCGGAGCTTTTCATTCCCTTTTTATTGCTCCTGGTTAGGACTTTCCTCCTTAGATAGGGGAGATCCTTTGCTTCTCACCTAGCTTCAGGGCCATTCAAAGATGATGGGATGAATCAGCACAGACAGACACACACTCTTTCCTTCCTTATCATGACTGAGGCTGAAGGTCACTACATAAGGATTATTACCTCTATCCCTTTTCCTTACTCTCTCCAAGACAACTGCCCTGATAAGCATCTGTAATAAAGTGCCCTGATATACATAATACATGAATCTTTATTTCTTATATCAGTGTTTTGGATAGGTAAAGACCCAGTGTTAGAAAGGAAAGAATCCAGTATTAGGAGGTGACATGAAACAAAGCATGTGAGTTTATTTATAAATTTTTTTAGTAACCTCCTCTTTTACAATTTGTTGTTAGTAATAAAAATCATTAGAAAAATTCAAGTAGGACGTGTGTATTCTTTAAGGACTAGTGATGTTGGGAGATATTTTAAGACTATTCTCTCAGGGACCTAGAAAAGAGAAATCAGGATTGGAAACAACAGGAGATAGAAGCAGGAAGCTAAGCAACCTAGCACAGTGGCTGCATTTTGGAACCACCTGGGAATATTAAGAAAAAATACTGATGTTTGGTTCCCACCTCTAGACATTCTGATTTAATTAATCAGGACTATGTCTTAGATAGGCGACCTGGTGGCACCGTGGTTAAGTGCTTGGCTGCTAACTGAAAGGTCAGTGGTTCAAACCCATCAGCCACTATGTGGGAGAAAGATGTGGCAGTCTTTCTGTAAAGATTACAGCCTTGGAAATCCTATGAGGGAGTTCTGCTGTGTCCTATAGGGGTCGCTAAGGCAACAGGTTTGTTTTTTTGTTATATCTTGGACATAGGGATTTTTTAAATCTCCACTTTTGAATTTAATGTGCAGTGATGGTTTAGGACCACTGGCTTAGAAAAGAAAACTGGTCTAGGACTGAGAAGAGTTCCTGGGCTTCAAAGCTCCTCAACTCCAGATTTCTTCTGTTTCTTTTTATTTTGTAATCATTTAGGATAAATTGGTGTTTATTGTAGAAGGTAAATATGGTACTTCTGTGCATTCCCTAGGGAATTTGATGCTTTTTTTAAAGAGCTATGATTATTTAAGTTTCTGATATGTGGAGGAAAAAGACATGAATGAATCTTTAGCATCTGGGAAGAATTGACAGATTCGCATATTAACGGTAGTAGTAATAAAACTTCATGGATTGACTGTACTTACTTAACATTGTGATATTTGCACAGGTTGCCTGTGATTTGCTTCGAAGGATAATACGCATTTTGTATCTCAGTAAGAGACTCCAAGGACAACTGCAAGGGGGAAGCAGAGAGATAACAAAAGCTGCTCAGAGTCTCAGTGAACTTGGTAAGTCCTTTTTTGGTTAAAGAGTAGAGTTTTAAAAACTTAATGTCACTTAATTTGTTGAATTTTGTTATCACTTCTAACAAATATTTTTGCACAAATTTATGTAAATACTTGGCTATGTATAGCACTGCCACGCTTTTCAGAAGGTGTGAATAAAATCAGTTGATTTCTTGGAAGTGCTGTTTATTTTTTGAATGATTGTACAGTAAAATTTACCTGTTTTTGCTATACAGTTCTATAAATTTTAGCACATGTATAGATTGATGTAACCACCACCACCATGATACAGAACACTTTATCATCCCCCCAAATTCTCTCATGCTCTGCTTTTATAGTCACACCCTCCCTCTAACCTTGGCAATCATGGATCTGTTTTCCATCACTGTATTTTTGTCTTTTTGAGAATGTCACATAAATGGAATCATATGGTATGTAACTCTTTGAAGCTGGCTTCTTGTACTCAGCGTTAATACCTTTGAGATTCATCCACATTGTTAGGCATACCAATAGTTTGTTACTTTGTGTTGCTGAGTATTCTGTAGTATGGAAGTAACACACTTTATCCATTCAGCAGTTTAAGGACATTTGAGTTGTTTCCAGTTTTTGGTGATTATGAATAGAGCTGCTATGAACATTTGCGTACATGTTTTGTGTGAATGTAAGTTTTCTTTTCTCTAGGGGAAATGTTAAGGGGAAACATTGTATTTTAGTTGACAGATCCTATGTTGATATTATGTGAAGAAGATTTATTTAATCCATTTCTTCATTCATTCATTCTTTTCTCAAACATGTAGAGCAGACCCTTGGCATTCAAGAGTTTGACATTTATGGTTTTGTCTCTTAAAAAGCTGCAAGGTCCATGATGAAGCAATTCATAATTTTTCAGGCAAAATTTTGAGTGGCTAGTGAGTGTACATAGACTTTCCCAACACCTGCATTTTCATGAGGCTTTATGGTTTTCTTTTCATTGGCTACCTAGTACTTTTCCTGAAGTGGATATGTTTGTGGTATTTGTACATTTGTGGGTTCAGAAGGCCTTTGATTAGATCCATTTCAGATATCAAGATTCTCTGTATCAGGCAGTGTACTCTGAAAGTTATTATGCCAAAAGAATATCAGAAAGATGAGCGTTACATATTGTATCTGAATTTGGATATCTTAGATATTTCAATTATATAGTCACGCAGTAATGCTTTTTCCATATTCTTTACCGACCAAAAAAAAAAAAAAAAAGGAATATCATTCACAAATCTTGCTTTAACAACATTTCAATTGTATAATACTCAAATGTAGGTCTTCCTCAGGCACATCCGTGGGAATATATCTAGTTTGTGATATAGTATGCTGCTTGGAATATATTGTGCAAAAAGTTAATTTTTAAGAAGTGAATAACACTTAAGCATTATTTTCACAGTATGTGCTAAAATTTGTTGTTGTTGTTGTTAGGCACCATCAAGTCAGTTCCAACTCCTAGAGACCCTATGTGGGACAGAATGAAACACTGCCCTGTGCTGCGCCATCCTCACAATCATTGCTATGCTTGAGCCCATTGTTGCAGCCACTGTGTCAGTCCATCTCATTGAGGATCTTCCTCTCTTTCAGTGACCCTCTACCATGCATGATGTCCTTCTCTAGGGACTGGTCCCGGGTCCGAAGTACTTGAGACGAAGTCTTACCATCCTTGCTTCTAAGGAGCATTCTGGCAGTACTTCTTCCAAGACAGATTTGTTCGTTCTTCTGGCAGTGCATGGTATATTCAGTATTCTTCACCAAAACCATAATTCAAAGACATCAATCCTTGTTCATTGTCCAGCTTTCGTGTATATATGAGGCAATGGAAAATACAGTGGCTTGGGTCAGACGCAGCTTAGTCCTCATAGTGGCATCTTTGCTTTTTAACCCTTTAAAGAGGTCTTTTGCAACAGATTTGCCCAATGCAGTATACATAGCTTGATTTCTTGACTGCTGCTTCCATGGGCATTGATTGTAGATCCAAGTAAAATGAAATCCCTTACAACTTCGATCTGTTCTCCGTTTATCATGATGTTGCATACTGGTCCAGTTGTGAGGATTTTTGTTTTCTTTATGTTGAGCTGTAATCCATACTGAAGGCTGTAGTCTTTGATCTTCATCAGTAAGTGCTTCAAGTCCTCTTCACTTGCAGCAAGCAAGATTGTGTCATCTGCACACCACAGGTTGTTAATGAGTCTTCCTCCAATCCTGATGGCACATTCTTCTTCATATAGTCCAACCTCTCAAATTATATGTTCAGCATACAAATTTAACTGCCCTGTAAGGTTCCCAAGGAGCAGCTGGTATGTTTGAACTGCTGACCTTTTGGTTAGCAGCTAAGCTCTTAACCACTACGCCACCAGGGCTCCACAGATTGAATAAGTATGGTGAAAGGATACAATCCTGACACACACCTTTCCTAATTTTAAACCACGCAGTATCCCCTTGTTCTGTTCGAATGACTGCCTCTTGGTCTATGTATAGGTTCCTCATGAGTGTACTTAGGTGTTCTAGAATTCCCATTCTTCTCAGTGTTATCCATAATTTGTTATGATCCACACAGTTGAATGCCTTTACATAGTCAATAAAACACAGGTAAACATCTTTCTGGTATTCTCTGCTTTCAGCCAAGATACACTTGACATCAGCGATGATGTTTTCCGTTCATGTCCTTTTCTGACTCTGACTTGAATTTCTGGTAGTTCCATGTTGATATACTGCTACAACCACTTTTGAATTACCTTCAGAAAAATTTTACTTGCATATGATATTAATGATAATTTCTGAGTTCTGTTGAATCACCTTTCTTTGGAATGGGCGCTTATGAATATCTTCCAGTTGACTGGACAGGTCTTCCAGATTTCTTGGCATAGAGGAGTGAGTGCCTCCAGCACTGCAGCGGTTTGTTGAAACATCTCAGTTGGTGTTCCATCAATTCCTGGAGCCTTATTTTTCGCTAAAGCCTTCAGTGCAGCTTGGACTTCTGCCTTCAATAACATCTGATCCTGATAATATGCTACCGCCTGAAATGGCTGAACATCGACCAATTCTTTTTGATACAGTGACTCTGTGTATTCCTTCTATCTTTTTTTGATGCTTCCTGCATTGTTCAATGTTTTGCCCATAGAATCCTTCAGTATTGCAACTTGAGGCTTGAATTTTTTCTTCAGTTCTCTCAGCTTGAGAAATGAAGAACGTGTTCTTCCCTTTTAATTTTCTAACTCCAGGTCGTTGCACATTTTATTATGATACTTTGTCTTTCGAGCTGCCCTTTTTATTTTTTTATTTTATTGTTACACTTTAAGTGAAAGTTTACAATTCAAGTTAGTCTCACATAGAAAAATTTATACATATATTGTTATGTGACGCTAATTGGTGTCCCCATACTGTGACAGCACACTCCTCCTTTCCACCCCTGATTTCCCATGTCCATTCAATTAGCTCCTGACCCTCTCTGCCTTCTCATCTCACCTCCGGACAGGAGCTGCTTGTTTAGTCTCATGTATCTACTTGAGCTAAGAAGCACACTCTTCACAAGTATCATTTTATGTCCCATTGTCCAGTCTAATCTTAGTCTGAAGAATTGGCCTCGGGAATGATTTTAATTCTGGGTTGACAGACAGTCTGGGGGCCATGCTTTCTGGGGATCCTCCAGTCTCAGTCAGATCATTAAGTCTGGTCTTTTTACTAGAATTTGAGTTCTGCACCCCACTTTTCTCCTGCTCCATCAGGGACTCTTTCTTGTGTTCTCTGTCAGGGCGATCATTGGTGGTAGCCAGGCACCATCTAGTTCTTCTGGTCTCAGGTTGATGAAGTCTTTGGTTTATATTGCCCTTTCTGTCTCTTGGGCTAATACTTCCCTTGTGACTTTGGTGTTCTTCATTTTCCTTTACTCCAGTTGGATTGGGACCAGTTGATGTGTCTTATATGGCCACTCACTAGCTTTTAAGACCTCAGACGCCACTTACCAGAGTAGGATGCAGAACATTTTCTTAATAAACTTCGTTATGCCAGTTGACCTAGATGTTCCCCGAAACCATGGTCCCCAGACCCCTGCCCCTGCTACTCTGTCCGTCAAAGTGTTTGGTTGTATTCAGGGAACTTCTTAGCTTTGGTTTAGTCCAGTTGTGCTGACTTCCCCTGTAGTGTGTGTTGTCCTTCCCTTCACCTAAGATAATTCTTGTCTACTATCTAGTTAGTGAATAACCCTCTCCCTCCCTCCCCACCATCGTAACCATCAAAAAATGTTTTCTTCTGTGTTTGAACCTTTTCTTGAGGTCTTATATAATAGTGGTCTCATACAGTATTTGTCCTTTTGTGACTAACTAAATTCACTCAGCAAAATGCCTTCCAGATTCCTCCATGTTATAAAATGTTTCACGGATTCATCGTTGTTCTTTATCATTGCATAGTATTCCATTGTGTGAATATACCATAATTTCTTTATCCATTCATCCATTGATGGGCACCTAGGCTGTTTCCATCTTTTTGCTATCATGAATAGTGCTGCAGTGAACATGGCTGTGCATATATCTGTTTGTGTGATGGCTCTTGTTTCTCTAGGATATATTCCAAGGAGCAGGATTGCTGGATTGTATGGTACTTCTGTTGCTGGCTTTTTAAGGAAGTGCCAAATCAATTTCCAAAGTGGTTGTATCATTTTACATTCCCACCAACAGTGTAAGTGTTCCGGTCTCTCCACAACCTCTCCAACATTTATTATTTTGTGTTTTTTGGATTAATCCTAGCCTTGTTGGGGTGAGATAGTATCTCATTGTAGTTTTGATTTGCATTTCTCTAATGGCTAATGATAGTGAGCATTTCTTCATGTGTCTGTTAGCTGCCTGAATGTCTTCTTTGGTGAAGTGCCTGTTCATATCCTTTGTCCATTTTTTAATTGAGTTATTTGTCTTTTTGTTGTTGAGGTTTTACAGTATCTTGTAGATTTTAGAGATTAGATGCTTATCAGATTTTGTGTTGTAACCAAA